AAAAAGAAAAGAAAAAAGGGGGGGGGGGGCTTTGGAGAGGCAGGCAGCGGCGTGCGCTGTCATAGGCCGCCAGGCACCATTCTCCAACGCTTCTTTCTTCTTCTTCAAAAGATTCAGCAACAATGGAATCTTTGACAGAATATCCCCTCGTTCAGGCGAGCCTCCTTGCACACTTCCCTCACGCACGCCATATGTAACGGCGTGAACTCCTACTCGGTGCGCACATCTGACTGCGTTAGACCGCCGTCAATGATCCTCCGCGCGATTTTCACGGCGGTCTCGTAAGTCGAGCCCAACCTGCTGATCTGGACGTCCACGTAGCACAGAGAGTCTTCCAGCAACTCGAAATTGACTTTCACCTTCTTCGGTGACCGCCCTGTCACTTTATCATCATCATCTACTCCTCCTTCTCTTCTTCCCCTCTTTCTTCTTCCCGGAACCCTAATTTTCCCGCCAAAATCATTGTCGGCTCCCGGAACCCTAATTTTCCCGCCAAAATCAATGTCAGCTCCCGGAACCCTAATTTTCCCGCCAAAATCAATGTCGGCGGCGGATTTCAAATTTGAAGATCCCGATCCGGATCCGGATTCCGTTTCCGATTCAGATTCCAACTCCGGGAAGAAGGAGATGAACTCCGCCGTCAAATCTGGGCACTTCTCGCCGAACAATCTGACAACTTTTTCGCGAACCTGTGAAACGGTGTATTCTCCCTTTGAGTAAGAAGCCATGGAATCCAAAAATTCCCTGTACACGCCGCCATTGTTGTTGTCGCCGCCGGTGCCGAAGATCTCCGAAACCCTATCCAAGAAATCGAGTGAATCCGCCTCGTCCGCGGCGGCGACTGCGGCGGCGGGGGAGTAGCTCGCCGGCACGAAAGGTTCGAAACCGATAAGCAGATCCGGGTGGTTCTGGAGCAGCCTGTTAATCGCGACCACAGCGTACGAGGAGGGAATCATCCTCGTGCCGAATTCTTCGAGAATTGCCGTGAATTGACAGAAGGTTTCATGATTAAGGTTTTTTTCGATTTCGTTAATGATGTTGAGAGCGAATTTGAACGCCATGATTACTGATTAGAGTTTTACAGAAGAAACAATATGAAGCTTTAGCACCTTATATAGAAGTAGAAGGAATGCGCGGATGGAAAGGGTTTTTTTGAAATTAAAATTAAATTAAATTGGGGCCCACGCTTCTTCTAAGTTCTAAAATAGGAAATATTCAGTTTTTATCCCTAAAGTTTGTACATATTTCATATTTGCCCCCACCCATGTTCATAAAAAAATATATTTGATCCATCATGTTTCAAAATTTCAACACTTTTAGTCATTTCCGTCAATTTTCGTTAATACTAACGGAAAATTGACCGAAATAATATCAGGGACCAACTGTGTTTTTTTTTAAATGGAGGATCAAATGTGAAATTTGTGCAAACTTCAGGGATGAAAACTGTAATTTCCACGAAAAAAATATCACCCTTTAGATGAGATTGGATTACTTCCCACTAATTAATTTATTTAGCTGGTGTGATGTTGGATAAGTAAGATTAGATTTTGTTAAAGTGTGGTGTTATATGTGATTTGTCTACAAAACCTTTAATTTAATAAACTTAAAGGGTAAACAACGTCCCCCTTTTTTTTAAACAATGTCTATTTACGAAGATCCCCTTATTTTTTCATAATTACATCCACCGCCTGCAACATATAGATTTCTTACATTGACACCATTTTATAAGGGGATGTATGTAAGAAATTTACAAAATTTAAGGGTCTGTATGTAAGTAAGTTATAAAAAAAGGTCTCCTTTTGTAATTACACTTTATCTAAAGGAGGTGGTTGTAATTTACCCTCAATAAAGGGTGCAAAGTGTATTTAACCCAAAATAAAACGACAACCCACCGCACATAACTGTAGGGAAAAGCACCGGACCGTAAACACTAAAAAAGTCATTCAAACGATTTAAAACTCATTAAACATTAATTAAACCTAATCCCAAAATTTACCAAAGAGATACTCTCTCTCTCCTATTGGCTATTAACAAACAGTGGTATTAAAATTCAATTTACACCTTTCTGCCACAGAGCAATAATCGATCTCTCAGAAACACGCACAAACACGCAGTGGAGGTGACGTAAGAAGAATGGGTTTCTTTTCCTTTCTCGGCAGAGTGCTGTTCGCTTCCATCTTCATCCTCTCTGCATGGCAAATGTACACTCTCTCTCTCTAATTTATTCGCGTTTTTTTTTTTGGTTGTATCAGATCTGTTGGGTAATTTTACTTCTGTATGTGAAGATTGATTATGATGCTTCCGTATGTGATTCGTCGCTCCCTGTGTAGAAATTTTGTTACCAATTTCAGATCTAGCCTTTTTCGTGTTGCCGATTGTGATATTTAAATTTTGCATGTTTTTTTTTTTTTTTCTGGTGATTTGATTGTTGGAGGTTATGTCATGAACATGAATTTCAGTGGTATTGGGAGTTTTGATTTTGCATTAGTTTGTTTTTATTGCTATTTAATTAACTGAAACCTAATGTCTCGAATCTGTAATTTGGGGGCTATGTGGAATTTTTATTTATCTGTGATTTTTTTTAATCTGGGGAAGTACTTTTTTTGTTTCAATCTTCGTTGTAAGCACACTTCGAATGGATCGAACTTGGACTTGAAGCTTATTTTTGTACATATTTTGCTACTAGTTTAACTTTTTTAAGGAATCCCCGATTTTGTATAAGCTTGTGTCTCTGCTGAATGGAGATTCGGCTTTCTATTTGATTCCACTCGTCGAACGCTCTTGCGGGTTTTTGCCTTTCTAAAAAGATAATTTCTTTAAATGAGGGCTCAATCTAAATTCTGACCAAAATACGCAATCTATATGTTGTAAAGTAGTGACATGTTTCTCAAGGCAAATTGTAACAGTTGACATTGCCCGAGTGCTTATTTTCTTTTTTGAACTAAGAATAATGTATTTCAGTTTTATTACGAATTTACCTTACCGAGGAAATGTCGAGGTTCTTCACTTACCCGTAGTATAATAGGCTGTGAGGGATACATGGGAGTGGATTTGATGTGACTGAACATTTGTAATTCAAATTAACTGTTTAAAGCTCATTTTGTGGAAACTAGATCAGTTATATTTAATAACTCTAAAAATAGACATTGATACTTGAAGTAGATGGCATTTTGAGATGTTCATGTGACGCAGGACCGTGTCTAAGAAAGATGAATTTATGAGGTGTTCGGGTTTACTATAAACTCATACGATAATTTTTCGAGCCTCTACGTAGTAAAATATTTATACTTTCTCTCAAAATATTTTGACAAGTTGTGTTTCAATAGCTTGTATACGAAGCATTCATAATCAGTTGACTAAGTCAAAAGCAACGAGACATTTAGAACCGTAGTTAATGTGCTGTAGCGCATATGGCCCGACCCAACTCAAAGTAAGATTATCAAGAAACCGTTGTTTATTACTTAATTGGAATTGATATTTATAGCTTGTAGATATATATGCCAAAACATTCTTAATGCTTTAGTAAATGTCTAAAATTATTACTTAATTGGTATTGATATTTATAGCTCAAGTTATGGGCCTAGTATCTCTCTTACTGATTATGCAATCCGAGGATCTTATTTTATTATTTTTCCCATATGTACAATTATATATATCCATATATACAATTATACCTGTTGATTGAGAATACAATTGTTCGATTATTTTTTTCGATTGATAAGAATCTGCTTCCTCTTTTTAGGTTCAATGAATTTGGAGAGGATGGTGGACCAGCAGCAAAACAATGGGCTCCCAAATTGGCCCTTCTCAAGAAGTCCATCGACGGAATAGTTGGAAAAAATAATGTCCAAATTGATGTAAACTCGAATAACAGTCTCCGTTTATCTTCCGTTTTATGAAATATTGAATTATACTGATGGTTTGATATATGAATTTCACAGGCAAGGTCCTTTGTTGCTGCCTGTATATTTTTGAAGGGCTTGGGTGGTCTACTATTCGTCCTTGGCAGCAGTTTCGGTGCTCATCTTCTGGTAAGAACTCTATCCTCCCATATCATTCAATATCTGCCATTTATTTCGATTTTTCTAAATTAAAAAAGTCAATAATAATAATAATTATACCTGCAGATTTATTACCTGACATTCACCACTCCGTTGTTGTACAACTTCTACAACTACAATTTCGGCGAGCCAGAATTTTTCCGACTGTTGCAAGAGTTTCTTCAGGTACAAAACTTATACACGCAAATGTCTATTTTCCATGCGAATATTTTAAATTCACGTTCGTTTTGCATTTGAATAAAAAAAAAATCGAGTAACTCCGTGTTGAAATTTTCTTGATAGTGTGCTGCACTTTTCGGTGCGTTGCTATTTTTCTTGGGGATGAAGAACTCTATTACAAGGAAGCAACCCAAGAGAAAGAGCCTTAAATCGAAGGCGGCTTGATTCTTGTGAAAATGAAAACAAAACAAAACAAAACGAGAGCAAATTAAGTTGAAGGGATCAAATTAGGATATTAAATTTTAGGCAGATTTTTGGTTATTTAAAACCCTAGTTTTTATTTATCAGCTTTTTTCCAATTGATGCACCCAATATTTGGTGTTGGATTATGTTTTTATTTTTTGTCCAATTTTTGTTTGGAATTGTTCATATGTTTTTGTAATCAATTGAGCACTCAATTTCTTATTTACATAACTCTCCAAATGTCAATAGATAATTATAGAATTGCTGCTCTCCAAATAATTACAGAAGAACCACTTATTAAGTAATTACAAAATTGTCACTCACTACGTAGAATTACAAAACTACCACTCCTCATAATTACAAAAATGCCACTCAGCAAATTTGTGTATTCAATGTAGGGGTGTGCACGGTCGGTTCGGTTCGGTTTTTGGCAAAAACCGAACATGAACCGAATATATCTGTTTTTGTAAAATTAAAAACCATACATGTCGGTTATTCATCGGTTCGGTGTCTTTCGGTTTCGGTTTGGTTTTGGGTTTTTTCGGTTCGATTTCGGTTATTTTTTGGTTCAAGAGTAATTATATATTCAAGTTATACAAACAAAAGAATCCAATTACGATTACTTTCACAACTAACTAATGTAATGAAAATATAAAATCGTTAATCCCCATAGGACTTAACATAATTTGGATGATGTATTATGCTTTTTTTTTTTTTTTTTTCTACTTTCATTAACCACATTATTAAAACCAAATAATACCATGAACTCAACTAAAATTTTAGTTACTATATAAATAAAATACAATTTCTCAATTTATGAACAAATACTTAGAATGAGACAAGTAATTGAAAGATAGAAAGTAAAAATTAGGGTAAAATAATACATATATTACATAAAATGAAGTCATTTTATATCTTCGGTTCGGCTCGGTTTTTCGGTTCGATTATTACCCTTTCCACCATACCGAACCGAATCATTCGGTATTTCAAAAATAAAAAAACGTACATGCGATTTGCTATTCGGTACGGTTTGAAACGGCTCGATTTTTCGATTTTTCGGTTCTGAGTTTTTGGTTTTTCGGTTTTTTTGCTCACCCCTAATTCAATGAGGGTATTTCTTTTATATGAAGGAGAGGATACTATTGAAAGAAATAAATAAACCGATTAACTTTAAAAATAAATAATAATGGAGCTTAAAGAATTTAAAAAGAAAATCACACAAGAGTCGTCACAACGTATACAATCCAACAAAAACACGACTTCAATATTCGTAGCAACAAAAGCGTTTGTTGCAGACTGCAGAACACTGCAACTTCAGAGCTCCAAAACCTCTCCCATGGTGAGCGCGAAAATCACACACAATCGCACACACTTAAAATATTATGCATTTAAATAAAATTCTCGATTCATTATTTTCGGTTATACTTTGATTTTACACAGGATTATCTCAAAACAGTAGTCCCATCTCAGCTCCTCGCCGAACGCGGATCCAACCTCGTCGTCATCAACCCAGGTTTTTTGCTAATACACCCCCAAATCAATTTTATTGTTTTCACATCTTCAATTTAATCACCGCAAAATTTCTAGGTTTGCTCAAATTTTGCTTTGTTTCGATTTTTGTGGGTGTAATTTAGGTTCAGCGAATATAAGAATTGGACTAGCGCAGCATGATGCTCCGGTTAGTGTTCCCCATTGCATTGCGAGACGCACTTCTCAAGTGCCGAAGAAGAATGTTCAGGACCAGGTTTTCTGCGTATTCTCTCAATTTTCCCACAATTTTCAACTTTTGAAGTTTTGGGTTATTATTATATATTTAATTCATTTTCTGATTAGTTCGTTTTCATTTCTTCGTGCAGTTGCTTAATTCTCAGGTTACGACAGCGCAGCACATGGAGCGTGAAAGGGCTTATGACATTGTTAGTTAAGAAACTTATAAATGTTGATTCGAAATTGATTGAATATAGAGCTGATTTCCTGATTTCTTTGCGTATTCTTGAATTATCAGATTGCGTCATTGTTGAAAATTCGGTTTTTAGATGAAGAGGCAACGAACAATCAATACCCACAAAAGGTAATGTTTTGTGTCGTGAGTGGAGAGGAATATAGAGAATGGGAAATACTTCACTCAAAAGATTTTTGTTTCAATTGCTTGATTGTTGTAATAGTTGGGGGTTTGGTTTTTTTGCAGATGGGCCGTGTGGATGCGTTTCCTCCTCAAAGTAACAACAAAAAAGAGACAGTTATTCCATGGACTAATGTGTTTGAGAAAAGCACATCTTCATCTTCTGAAGAAGGTATATATATGATTTTAGGTTGCTTCACTTTCATATTGCCGTATAATGTCCTGTATGATAATTATAATCTAATAGTTCGATTTTAGTGTGCTTCACTTCCTATTTTTTTTTTAAATTATCCTTTTTGGTGAAGAAAATTAGAGCCTTATATCTATGGTTAAGCCTCTTTCATTGTTTGATACTCTTAATTATTGGGGTAGTGTAGATAATTTCCAAGTCAGTGGCCAATTCGTATGATTGTTTCCTTATGGAGGTTATGCACTAGTCTATTGGCTCCATGTTTGACACTAATTTGATCTCGCTTTGTGTTGTTCTGCAATAACAAACGGTGCAATTTAATGGTTTTTTTTTTACCGTATCTCAATAACCTGGAGTTGCTGACAAATTCTCTTAAAAAGAATCAGCACATTAACAGCATTGTTACAGGAAATTCACTGAAATCTGGAGAATTTTCAATCGAAAAGGAAGGTAATGCCAATGAGGAAACCAATTTGACCGAACCTAAATACAGGGAGCATATTTTTGGTGAGGAAGCTCTCAGAATATCTCCAGCTGAACCATATTGCTTGCGCCGACCTATTCGCAGAGGCCACTTCAATATTTCTCTGCATTATCCTATGCAACAGGTACTAAGATCATCATATGCTACTATGTGAACTCTTTTTTGGGCACTATGAAAGATCTCGTTTCTTTATGGAATTGTTGATGTGTTCATTAGGGCCTGTTAGAATATCAGGCTTTCTCACATTTGCCTTTCCATTTTAGCAATTTTCAGCTCATTTATGCATTTGTTGAATTTTGTTCCCAATCCACGCTAAAGAACATCTGTAATTTTATTTTAATCTTTTGAAGAATATTGATTTGTAGTTGCTCATGATTGAGAACAAGCTCCGAGCATCACAAAATGCCATTTTTTTAATTTTATTTTTATTCCTCAGGTAATTGAAGATATGCATGCTATCTGGGATTGGGTTTTGACTGAAATACTGCGCATTCCCCGTAATCAAAGACATACATATTCTGCTGTTCTTGTTGTTCCTGAGACTTTCGATAATCGTGGTAATTGTGATATATTGCTCTCACTTTTTTATTCCACCTTGCTGATCAATGGCAAATCCGCTCAATCTTTGTTACTTTTATTCTTAGTGAATTGCAAAACAAAAACTGCCATGGGCTTAAGACTATACACCGTCTATCTATGAGCATATACTTACGTACTGACCTCCTCCTATAGTTATGGCTGCACAAATTGCTCTCTTTGATTGAGCTCAAAAGATTGCTGCTTATGTCTTAGTTTAACCTGAAATTCTTAATATTCTATTACTATCAGATCCTAAATGCCAGAGGATATGGACGATTTTATTGCAAAATGTTCATCAAGAGTTTCCTTGCTTTATGTGATTCAAATTAGATAAGTTACACGAAGAAAAAACTCGTTGTAAATCGAACCTATACGAGATTTTGCCACTGATCTTCAACAAATAGTTCAATATAGTGCAGTAAACACACGAAGTTTCCTAAATACATTTTCAAATGATTAGAATATAACTATACTTTGTAAACACCCATACATATATGAAATCTAAATGGATATGTTGAAGTTAGAGTAGAAAGAACCCATATGGAGCAGGAAACTCACGTAATTTCGTAGATGGGAATAAACTAAAAGATCTCGTTTGGCTTATTTTCTAAATTCCTTATGTAATCATTATGAATTGTTCCATGGTAGGTACATCTACTTTTACTTGAAGAAGTCAAACCTTTCTCACATTGCTTCATGCATTGTCATTTGCCTCCCTAACATTAAAGATATATTTAACAGAAATCAGAACCAAAAAGGTCACCGTAAATGTCACGCTATATCTATTCTATGTTCATGGGATGACACGTTCCATTACACACGTTGAACCAATGCTAATGTTCATGTATCTAATGAGCTGCATGGCGACTTCGAATGCTTGATATAATTTCAAAATTTGGACCTTTTCATTCTTGATTGAGATTTTAATGTCATACTGACCAAGTCTCTGGATAAATGATATGAGCTTGAGACATTTGCTGCATTTCGTGTTTGGTATGCAGAAATAAAAGAACTTTTATCGATCGTACTTCGAGATTTGTGTTTCACCACAGCAGTAATCCACCAGGTAGTACTTTCCTTCAAGACTCTCATAGCGTTTTGAACTCTTAGCTAAAACTCTTGATATATTTGCTCATACGGACCACTTTACTTATCAGAAGCTAATTTATGCTTATTTACTTGTGTTATCACACTTTTTTAATTATTTTTCTTTTGTAGTTACATTCTACCTTTCTTTTGTCTCGCTCTTCTTTTCGACACATAATGTAGGAAGGGCTTGCTGCAGTTTTTGGAAATGGCTTATCTACTGCATGTGTTGTGAATATCGGTGCTCAATCGACGTCAGTTATGTGCATCGAGGTGTGTTCTTATTTACATCGTTAGATATTTTACATTGCTAGTTTATATATATCGTTGATTATAATTAGGACATGGTTGCTTATATATATGTTTTGCTTGCTTGTCTCTTCCAATGCAGAAGGAAATTCTTTCTAGAAATTTAAGTACTCTGCACTTTATACTGGTTATCTTTTGTTGTTATTACAACAGATACTCTGTACTTTATCCTGATTACATACTCTTGATGATTTAGGATGGAGTGACTCTACCTACTACTCAGATTACTCTACGATACGGTGGAGAGGTGATTATTAGGCTGCAGATTTTCAGTTATTCCTTTTATTCCGAAAGAGCATTGTTAATCGAAATAGCTAAATATACGTATTTCAGCATTCTCATGCATGATTAAATCTTGTTGTTTCATGGCTGTGCATGCTTTTTAACTCCAAGTAAAGACCACTTTTCTGGTTTTCTCTGGTGCTTTTCTTGGTTTTCATTCACCAATTGCGGAGTTCTTTGTAATTTGATATTTGGATGAAGAATTACATGTGATTGCGGTACATTTTAGCTGACTAATTTGACCTGTCAGTTCTTGGTTTTACCCTCCCAGTTAGCTTGAATTACATTTGTAGCCTTATAGTCTCTGGTAAATTACATTACAGTGGAATTCTTTGTCCGTAAGAAATTTGAATACTGTTCCAGGATATTTCAAGATGTCTGCTTTGGACTCAGAGACATCACCAAACATGGCCACCAATTCGAACTGATGGTCTGACGAAACCCATTGACTTATTGATGCTGAATAGACTTAAAGAGTCTCACTGCCATATCAGAGTGAGTTCACTAGAATATGTTTTCGCAGAATTTCAAAAATATTATTATTTTGCGCATATTTTAAAAATTCTTAATTATTTATTTTTGGAAAACTATTTACTGTATATGTAGGATTTATTATAATATTGAAATACTCATAATTTTTTGGAATACAGTATATATTTGAAGACGGATTGTTTATTTTGTGGCGAATTTTGGAAATATTTATTTCACAGAAATTCTTTATATTCATTTACGGAAAAAATATGTTTTATCTTGTATTGTATGTTCAGGAAGGAGAAGTTGAAGCCGTCGCCATAGTTCACTCATATGAAGAAGGTGCACCACCTGGTTCCCACAAGACAAGACTTACCGCTCTCAATGTATGTGGATCTTAACTGATAATTGCGAAAACAAGGAATTTGAAATTCAAAATATCTTTATCTTTTATTCCTAACGAGAACATAAATCATTAAATTTTGATGATTCCTTAACTTGGAAACAGGTTCCTCCTATGGGTTTATTCTATCCAATGCTTTTGGTTCCAGATGTTTACCCTCCACCACCACGGAGTTGGTGAGTTATAAGGTTTTTTTCAGTTTTGCAGGTTCAGTTTTATTGTTTTGGGTAAATAATTTTAACAAAAATAAACATACAAAGATAAAAGGGTTCGTTATTTTCAGGTTTAGTGATAGTGAGGATATGCTGGAAGAAACTTGGGACTTCCCTAGAAGACCCGACATGTCAGATGGTTACTTGGCTGGTGGTGCTAGTGGATTTTATCCTATGTGGGAAAACTACCCTATATTTCAGTCAAAACCGAAAAAACAGGATACTATTGGTCTTGCTGATGCTATTGCAAAAAGTATTCTTTCCGCAGGTATATTTTATATTCCTTTCGGCTAGGATTTGGGGTTGAAATTATATATTAGATTCCGATTTCCTATCCAACTTTAATTTTCAAAAATAATTTCAAATATGTTTATAATATCTAAATTATTATGTATTGTATTTTAGGTGGATAAAGAAAGGGAATTTTTTAAATCGACCAATTTTTTGGAACAAGTTTTTTCATTCCAATTCCCATTTTTTGCGGAAATTTTTGTATCAGCATTGGAATCAGTTTTTTCATTTCCGGTTATACATTTGATTGTTTCCACTTCACATTTTTGAATTATTTTTTTTTTGTCAGGGCGCATTGACCTGCAGAGAAAATTGTTCTGTAGCATGCAACTGGTGAGTTCTAGTCTCCATTCAAGCTTTTCATAATTATAATTGAGTTATCTTCAAATCGAGGTTTACATGACTCAATGCTTCAGATAGGTGGAACGGCTTTAACCGAGGGTCTTATTTCTGCCATAGAGGAGAGGTTACAATCTAGGCTTCTATCTAATGAATATGCATAAAAAATCAAAGCAAAGTGTTTATTTTAAGCAGCATTAATTATTATTTAAATTATGTGAATTACGTGGTAATGTCTTTGTTTTCCCAACGTTTTCTCTCGCAGGGTATTGCATGCCATTCCGTCTCATGAAGCCATTGATACTGTGGAGGTCAGATTCTTTCGGCCAGTATATAATTTTTGACTATTTGAATTTTTTATATTTTGTACATAAAACCAGTTTAGCGAAATAACTGGATCTTGCTAACTTAAACTGGAATATTTCTATCTTTAATCACAATTTTATACTTAAAGCTATATTTTCTTAGCTCGTTATCCCGAACCAGCTGGTTTTTCCGATCATTTCTTTATCATTTTGTTCATACGTAACATATTCATTACTGCCTCGGCTCCCTGATTGATTTTTTTTTTCACTTCTTTTTTCAATATTTCCTCGTCTCTGGTTATTGTTCTACGTTCGCACTTCCCTTTGTTTTCGACTGGCAGTAATATATATACTTTAATAAGTTGTTTTTTCCACTAATTACAGGTTTTGCAATCTAGAACAAATCCAGCCTCTGTAACATGGAAAGGTGGAGCAGTAAGTATTTTTCCTGCCAAAGTCCAAAAAAAGATCATAATTTTATTATAAGGTTATGGAAATAGAATTCAATAATCGATGAAATCTTGATGCAGGTACTTGGCATCCTTGATTTTACACGCGATGCATGGATACACCGTGAGGATTGGATAAAAAACGGGATTCATATCGGAAGCGGAAGAAAATACAAAGATTCTTATTTCCTTCAAGCACAAACTATGTGCTTTACGAATTCCTAGGTACGACCGCTTTGTACTTCACTTTTTTCTAACGGTGCATCGTATAACTGGAAGTGTATTAATCACCAAAGGAACAAATGTGGTTGATTTGGTGAAAATATATCATCATTTATAAAGACATGTCATATTTTATAATTGCTGAACTTTTATTAAGAATCTGTACTTCGACAGCGAACTGAAAGAAGACTAGATAATACTACAATGAATATCAATTTTCTAAAAAACAACTCTCCAATATCGAATGGAATTTTTCATTTCGGTTTTCGCACTGATTCCTGCAGTTAGTTTTATTTATATATTAGTTTGCTCTGAAGTTGTAAATTTACTTGGTTTCTTCTTGTCCGAAGTCATTGCACTATGCAGTGTGACCGGACGTGGATTTTATCGATTCAAATTTTCTCTTGTAAGATGTAATTATTTTTGTTAGTCTAGATTGTTTTTGTTACGTATATAGAGAGTGAGAAATTTGCTATGCTCAATCTAGTTAGTTGGTGACTTATTTTAATGCCGTTTTGATAGGCAATATTATTGAACTTTATTTGATATTTGGTTAGTCTAATAACTCGTCCCCAACGAATTATTGTACTAAATACTAATCAAATATCATATATGTTGAGAATCAAGCTCAATTCAGCACAAATATTCGATCAGAACAAACCACAACCGAGATCAATTCATGCACATAATCAGACCAAACAAGAAAATCCTAATTTTGCATGAACGAGATCTTTATTCAATCAGTTTACAAAACAATCAACAAGATCAATCTATAGAGATTTTCTTCAACAATCTATACTGTTTTTCCTTCTTCCCCGTCTTTGATTTCTTTCCTCTCTCTTTCTCTCTAAATACAACGTTTTTTCTCTCTCAAACCCTAGCTATATTCCTCCTTTTATATCCTCTCATAAGTAAGCTTCATCCCCAAGTCTTGAGCATGCGTGTTTCGAGCTCCACCTCAGTAAGACAGTTAGTTGTTATTCTCATGTGATCAATCATCCAGTTCAAAAAACAACAAAATACCTACCGGTATCGAATATATCTCATAAAACAATAACATTGCTATCGAATATTTCCGGAATTTTTTTTTTTAATAAAATAGGGGTTTATGAAATACATTTCATTCCATAAGGTATTGATATTCAAGCATAAATAATTCGTAGGGTAGTTTCATTCGTCAACATTTTTTTCATTTAGAACTATTAATTTTTGTTTTGTCAACATATGATTTCATTAGAAATTTTATTTATTTTTCCAAAAAAAGAAAACTATTAATTTTTGTTTATTAATTCAAAAGCCCATGATTGGGTAGACTGAACGACGCCCTATTTTACCGGCCAAATTAACGGCGGCGGTGAAAAGCTCTCTTTCGCGCCAAAACAGAACAAATAAATAAACCGCGAAAAAGTTCACATACTTCGAAATGCTTGGCGCCAATACTCATTTTTTTACCCTCCTCTTATACTCCCTCCCCACACCTCCCCCCTTCCACAACTAGCTCTTTCAATTCCAGAAAATTTCCTGTAAACCCTAGATCAATTTTTATACCTTCTCGTTCATTGTTTCGCATAAAAGAGAGAATCCATGGAAGCAGTACCCATGGAATCAGATTCCATGGAGACTAACATCGAAACCCTACCGCATTCCATCGATCCGAAACTCGATTCTCGTACCTCGTTTTCGCTCACGCGCCATTTGACTGCTCACAGGACCACCACTTCCACCGGTGGGGCGAGAATCTCCGCCGTCCAGATTAATTCATCGAGGAGCGTCGAAAAAGGGGCGGAGGAATCTGATGGGGAGTCTTTTAGTGAGTTGAGTGTAGTGGAGGAGTCTCAGTGTGTAGAAAATGGTGGGGTTTTAGTAGGTGAGAGAGAAGATTGTGTTTTGAGAAACTGCGATATGGATTTTTGTTTTGTGAAAGTGAAGGAAGAATGCGATGTCGATTTCGTTAAAGGTGAGGTTTTTGGAGAAGAAAATAATGTTTTAATGGGGATGTTGAAGAATGTTGTTAAAGAAGAAATGGAGGAATCCGAGGGGACATTGTTCGATTTGTTGAGTGTGGTGGAAGAGTCTATGAGTGTGGAAAACGGTGAGGTTGCTGGAGTTTTAGTAGGTGAGAGAGAAAATCGTGTTGTTCAGAATGAGATTGTGAAAGTGAAAGAAGAGTGTGAAGTGTTTGGAGAAGGGGTGGAGGAATCCAAAGTGAAATCCTTTGATGCGTTGAGTGTAGTCGAAGAGTCCACGATTGGATCGATGGAGATTGTGAAAGTGAAAGAAGAATGTGACGTTGATTTTTCGAGAGGTGAGGTTTTCGGAGAAGAAAAGAAAGTTTTACGTCCCGAAAAAAAATTGGAGGAAAATAGTGATCTGAGTTACGAAGAGTGGCTTAAGTTAAATCATCCCGAAAAGTTAGAACCGAAAAAAGAGGCTAACGTGAGGGAGGTTATATCGGCTCAGCCACCGAGTGCAAGAAAATTGACGGTCGATGCACATAGAGGGTTCGGAAAAGGAGACAATTACGACGAGGAAGAAGTACGAGAGTTGGTATGCGTGAAGCCGCTTCGTGCGGTAAAATTGGCCGTCGATCCACACAGAGGGTTTCGAAAAGAAGGAAATATCGAGAAGTCTAAAAGGGAAAAGGCCGATGGAATGATGCTAAGTACTTTGGTGATTGAGGATGGGGATTTTGAAGAGGAGCCCGGATGGTCTTTGGTGGGTAGAACGGTAATTACGGGGCTCTCGACTACGAAAGGGAGAAAATTGGAGAATAATGAGATTGTGCATTTTAATTTTCCGGGTGTCGAAGCAAAGAGTTTTAAGAGTAGTACTTATTTTGCTAGTGCCAGAGCTGTTAATGCTGCTTCCAGTATTGTCCGTTTCTCGACGAAAAGATTTGGAGAGGTATTTCGAGAACATAACCGAATCTCGATTCATTTTAAATGTTAAAAACATTATTTTTGAACGAATTTAGGATATTAATGAATTGAATTTGATGTATTTTTTTTCAGATTGGCCGATTGCCAATGGAATGGGCGAAATGTCTTATTCCGCTTGTGAATTCGTCGAAGGTGAAAGTTCTTGGTCGTTGTGTGGCTGCTCCGATTAACCTTCAGTTGATGCAAGAGGTTATGTTGTATGTGAGGTAATGTGTTTGAAAATTACTTTATTTATACACTGCTCCAATTGCTTTATTTGTGTAATGGTGATTTACAAATTTGCGCATCTTGTCGTATTATTCGGCGATTGCAGTTTTTATATTCATAGCTCCGTTTTCACGAAAGACAATAAATCATCATGGAAGCTTGAGGCAACGAATATCGATAGCACCGCAAATCCTCTCATGACGCTGTTTAAATTGCTCAAAGTGAAGCCGTTTCAACAGGCGGAGTTCACGCCAGAAGAACTCGATTCTCGAAAGCGCTCACTGAAATTAGATGTATGTGTATGAAACTAAATTTCTTAGACATATTGCATGAAAACCCCAAAAAAAAAAAATCTTGATATTTTTATTTTCGAACAAAAAATAATCAGGACGATGCGGAGGAGATTGCATGTGTGTTGGCTTCGGCGAAGAGAAGAAAGGGCTGCCAAATTCAAGAACAGAACAAAGACGAGCAAGCTATTTCGGAATCATCGTTGAATAAGCTTGTCGGTGCTGTAGATGTCTACAATTTAGAGGTGTGTAATTAATAAACGGAACCTTAAAATTCTCTCACTTGTAATAAAAGTCGTTAATGTTTATATTTTTTTCGAACATCGTAGGAAATGGAGCCACCCGAGACACTTACGTGTGAATTAAGGCCATACCAGAAACAGGCTCTTTACTGGATGACCGAATTGGAGAGAGGTGCAAACGGAGAAGAAACCGAGAAGACCCTTCATCCATGCTGGGCAGCTTATCGTGTGTGCGACGAGTACGAACTCAAAACCTTTTTTATTATTAAAAAAATGTTTTATTTCAGTTTTGGTTATAATACAACTGATTGTTAATTCTTTACAGGAATGCACCGGCAATGTACGTGAATGTTTTTTCTGGTGAAGCAACGACGCAGTTCCCGACTGCAACACAGATGGCAAGAGGAGGGGTAAGTATTAATTAGTGGATAATAGTTTTAATTGTTTTGAGTATAAAGATTGAATTTTTAATTTTTTTTTTCTGCAATTTGGTGATGGTATATGCAGATTTTGGCAGATGCAATGGGACTTGGAAAAACGGTGATGACTATTGCTTTGATACTGGCAAATAGAGGCCGAGGTGGACAGGACGTTGATGAACAAGTTATCATCAATGGCAGTGACAATATCGAGAACAGACGGTTGACTAATGAAAGTAAACCGAAAGGTGGGACCCTCATTATTTGTCCGATGGCTTTGCTTAGCCAATGGAAGGTAAAACCCTCGAAACGGGCCCTACGAAAAACGTGTTTCAATATCTCCCCATGTTCTTTTATCGGCAGAAAACCCCCCTACAATTCAATTTTTTTAGTACACAATCCCTAAACAGGTGTACTAATTGCTAAAAAAAATTAAGTCACAGGGGGGTTTTTGCCAATAAAATAACATGGAGTATTTTTTTAGCAATTCGATATAACACATGGGTACTATTTGCTATAAACTCCTCATTGAAATTCTTGATGTTATGTCTTTGCCAGGATGAACTCGAAACACATTCGAAGAAAGATAGTATTTCGGTCTTTGTTCATTACGGTGGGGACAGAACAAATGATCCTAGTATGATAGCAGAACCTGATGTTGTCTTAACAACATACGGTGTGCTCACTTCAGCGTATAAAACCGTAAGGAAAAAGTTTAAATCGAACATGTGTCTTGTTAGTAGGGTTTATTATGCTTATTTGGACGAGCGATTCTTTTTATTCTATTTTTTTACAGGATTCTACGAACAGCATTTTCAACAGAGTGGAATGGCATCGAGTGGTGCTCGACGAAGCTCACACGATTAAATCATCAAAGACACAAGGCGCTCAAGCTGCATTCGCATTGTCTTCGTATTGTAGATGGTGTCTCACTGGCACTCCTCTTCAGGTAATTACACCGAGTGGGTTTATTGCACCGAATCAAGGGTACTAATTGCTAAAAAAAATAAAACCATAGGGGGTTTATTGGCAATAAAGTAACATGCGGTAGTTTTTCAGCAATTTGATATAATACAGGGGTACTAATTGCAATAAACTCACAGTTTTGTTAATATTACGTCGTGCATTTGTTGCTGCAGAATAATTTGGAAGATCTCTATAGCCTTTTGTGCTTCTTGCATGTTGAACCATGGTGCAACTGGGCATGGTATGTACGACATTTTTAACGTAGGATAAATATTCAATAATATTAAATAAGGTGAATTTTATTTATTAATTTATTTCTTGAAAAAAATACGAATAGGTGGAACAAGCTTATACAGAGACCTTACGAAAACGGCGACCAGAGAGGTCTGAAATTGGTTAAGGCAATTCTTCGACCTCTAATGCTGAGGAGAACAAAAGAGTCCAAGGACAAAGAAGGAAGGTAATCGCATTTTCTTGCATCGTTTTTCGAACTGTCGTAAAGTTTGTTGATTTCTCTAACATATTTTTTAATGTAGGGCAATACTTGTTCTCCCACCGACCGATATCCAAGTCATCGAGTGTGAACAGTCGGAAGCCGAGCACGACTTTTATGATGCCCTTTTCAAGAGATCTAAAGTAAGTTTATTATTAAAAAAGTTCGTTCTTTTTTTTTGAGACGATGTATTCAAAAGCATGTGTTGTTAATGGACGTGAATTTATATATAGGTACAATTCGACCAATTCGTTGCTCAAGGCAAAGTTCTTCATAACTACGCAAATATTCTCGAACTGCTACTCCGACTTAGGCAATGCTGCAACCATCCTTTCCTTGTTATGAGGTAAAGAACAACATTATTACGGGTGGAAATTGGAATGGAATTTCCATTCCGGACTCCGATTTTTTCAGAAACTTTGGATCGGGATTGGAATGCTCATGAGATTCCGATTCCCAATGCAATTTTATTTTCCAAAAAATATTCAAAAAAAATTGATTTTTTTCCCCGAAAATTACACTTACAAGATCAATATTATTATGCATTTGATATTATTGGTGACTGAAAATTTGGAATATTCCGAATTCCGCTGATTACACTCCAACAACTTTCGATTTTAGAATGAGTTTTTTCTTTTCCATTCCAAAATTCCGATTTTTCCGATTTTTGTTTTTTTAACGGAATTGGTATTGATTTTTCACTTTTGAAAAAATCGGAATATTTCTGACACTGCTAATTCCGATCCGACCCTTCTCATTTCCACCCCTAGATATTAATCATTCTATTTAATGAGCAGTTAAACAAAAATAAACCTTTTTTTTTTCCTCATACCCTGTCTCGAACTTTTGTCGACAGTCGAGGAGATACAGAAAGGTATTCTGATTTGAGCAAACTCACAAAGAGATTCCTCGAATCAGAAACAACCAGCCAAACAGGCCCTTCGCGAGCCTACGTCGAAGAAGTAGTCGAAAATATTCGCAACAACGAAAACACAGAGTGCCCCATTTGTCTCGAGTCGGCAGATGATCCTGTCCTGACGCCATGCGCGCATAGGATGTGCAGGGAGTGCCTCCTGTCCAGCTGGCATACGCCAGCTGGCGGGCTATGTCCTATCTGCAGACAAGTGCTCAGAAAAACCGAACTCATCACTTGTCCAACCGAAAGCAGGTTCAGAATCGACGTTAAAAAGAACTGGAAAGAATCTTCAAAGGTAACGAAACTTATGGAGTGCTTGGAGAAAATACGCGAATCGGGCGGTGGCGAAAAGAGCATCGTGTTTAGCCAGTGGACTTCGTTTTTGGATCTTCTTGAAATTTCACTAAAGATGAAGAAATTTGGATTCTTGAGATTCGACGGGAAATTGTCGCAGAAAAATCGCGAGAAAGTCTTGCATGAGTTTGCCGAGACAACTGAGAAAACGGTAAAAAAAAAATATAATAATTAATAAAAATAATTTTGCATGTGCTCTAATATCTATTTATAGATATTAACTATATTTTCTTAATTTAATTTTTGCATGGTTTAGGTACTATTGATGTCACTTAAAACAGGTGGTGTGGGGTTGAATTTGACTGCAGCTTCTAATGTTTTTCTAATGGTAATACAATATAAGAATTTTTTTCCGATAATCTTTAATTAATCTTTTTTTTTAAACTTTTTTTAAATACTGAAAATATTTTCGATGTAGGATCCATGGTGGAACCCTGCGGTGGAGGAGCAAGCAATTATGAGAATTCATCGGATCGGACAAAAACGAACGGTTCGTGTTAGAAGATTCATTGTCAAGGTAATCAACGTTTCTTGAAAATGTGGCTTATTTTAAAAAAAAAAACCTTTTTTTTTTCTTTTTTTTTTTTGAAAAATGTTACTTAAATAACTATTTCAAGTCAACTTTTGATCTCTTATCATAAAAAAGAAGAAGAAAAAAGTCAACTTTTGATCTAGGCAAAGAACTTGTTCTTTGGGTTTAAAAAGTCAGCCCTAGTATTGGTCTTAACTCTTAATCCTTCTTAGACTTAGTACTAGTCTGATTTGGCAAGTTTCAATTATTTTATTTTTATTTTTAAGAAATAAATAAATAATCAATATGTGACCGTTGACCAGTCAAGAATTTTCTGGAATTCTGGCATGTGATTATTAAACTCACATTTTTATAGCACATGTGAATTGCTTGTACATTTTCATATTCCAGCACATTGATTGATAATCTTGTTCCCCCACATTTGGTTATATTAACCCCCAAATAAAAAAAAATCTATATTTTTTGATAAATAAATAATTTATTGATGTATCACGAATTTATTTTTCTATCCCTCCGTTTATTTTTAATTTTCGGGTTTTCTAGTTTTTGGGCTTTCGGGTTTATTTGTAACCAATTTTTTTTATACCAATTTTGCCCTTTGTCATTAACGAATATTTATGTGGGAGAGATTTTATATTGATGTAATTGTGTATATGTTATAGGACACGGTAGAAGAGCGCATGCAACAAGTCCAAGCACGAAAGCAACGAATGATTGCCGGAGCCTTAACCGACGAGGAAGTTCGATCGGCCAGGCTCGAAGAACTTAAAATGCTTTTCCGATAATTTCAATTGCATAAATTATCCTATTTTTGGTTATATTAATTTAGTAAGGGCAGTTTTGTACACAATGTGAATTCGTTGTATCTATAGCCCTTGGTGCCTGCAACTTTTGTACAGCTCCAAACTTTTGTTTAGAAGTGTTTGGCTAAACTTATAAGATGTTAAAAGGAGCTTATAAGATGTTTTAAAGCTTATAAGCTTTTTCAAAGTATTTGGTAATTTTTTAAAAAAAGATCTTAATTTTAAAAAAAATAAGCTGTTGGAGAGCAAATAAGATCTTTTTAAAAAAGTACCTCTACCCCACCTTTTTATTTAAGATCTTATAATGAATAAAAATAGAAAATAAGCTTATTATCCAAACACTTTAAAAATTAATCCTAAAAATAAGATGTAACAGCTTATCAGTTCTAAAAACATCTTATCAGACGTAAGAGCTTATCAGCTGTTTAAAATAAGCTTAGCCAAACACCCTCTTAGTGATTATTAGCTTAAAAATAGCTCGAATTAAAAAAAAAAAGTCGATTTAATGCAAAAATCAGTATATATGATATCATGTGCTAACGCCGTGAGTATCTTTGCGGAGATTCCGTTAAAAAAAATTGGGGTATAACAGATTTTGTTATGGTCAAAGCAATTTTAGCCTTTGGGGCTGGATTCTTTGTGGCGGTGCTACCAATTATCAAAAGTGCTAAATAATTGTTTTTTGAGATATTGTTTTTGCCATAAAATCAATTTTATTATATGGGGTTGTAATTAAATCAATTAAATTAGTTAATTGTTTATCTTATTATATTAGTAGCTATGATTTATGAATCTTTTGAGTTATTAAAAAGAATAAAAAAAGAGAGAAGTATCCGCAAAACAAGTAAAACACTTGTGATTAGGCAAGCCGAGTCAAAGGAAAATAGCCTTTGACTGAAAAATTATGATTCTTAATTGGTAATTACTCTTTTGTCCCAATCGTGTAATCCACGCGCCCCTTACATATATATATACACTCGCCCCATGCTACCTTTTTCTCACCCCAATTCCCCCCTTTTTCTAGCATCAAACGAAAAATTAGGGCAATTTTCTCGTCCAATTTTTCCTTTACTTTTTTTTTTCTTCTGAAGAAATCTGTATCTGATATATATATATATATATGGCGGATATTGGATGTAGAAATTCGGCGGCGCGTGGGCAGCCGAACAGGCTGCAGAGGAGGGCGCCGGCTTCGTTGCAGATCTCTCCGGTGACGGATTGGAACGTGGCGATACCGCTTTTGTCGCCGTTGGTTCAGTCGCCCTCCTCCAATAATCCGACAGCTGAGATTAAGGAGTCGACGGCGGCGAAGCCGGTGGTGGTTATGAAGAAGTGGCAGCACCCGGCGGCGCCGTTCTGCTACGAGCCGACGCCGTTTCTGCCCTTTGTATGTATAGGAAGTTTAGACAGATGACAATTTTGTCATGACCCACGACGGTGACGGAGGCGGCAACAACGGTGGCGACGGTGGTGAGTTGAAGAACGGCAATAATTTTGGAAGTGAAGTGGGATTGAGTTTTGCAGCTGGGCCGAATGCAAGTGGGCCGAAATTTATTAATGAGCCGGGCCCAAGTGAAATTGAAGATTGGAAGAAATTAATTAAATATCTTAATTGTTATTTTCAGATTTTAATTATTTTTTGAGATTTTTGTTATAAGGGTTGGACGAGTTGAATGAAAGGCATTAAGCCAATTTTCAGAATCTCTCTCTTATCTCTGTATTCTTCTTCTTTCCCAAGTTTTCTTCCTCTCTAATTTCTTCCCCCAATTTCTATCTCAATTATCAATTTAATTTCTACTTTTATATTATAATTAAACCATAAAAATACCCAAAAATAGCTGGGATCTTACATTTGGTACTCAGAGCAAGGTTTTGATTTTCAAACCTGGGAGCATGGCTGCGAGAGTGACAGTTGAGGCACATAAAGATTATATTGAATCTATGACGAAACAAATGGCAGAAAATCAAAAGAAATTTCAGAAAACTTGTGAAGAGCTGCATATTCAAATGGCTAAATTGGTAGAGAAGTTTGAGCTGTATTACCCTCTCCCTGAAGATTCGGTAAGAACTCCTCTGACCTCTAATTCTAAACGACACTGAAGGGTTTATATCAAGTCAAAAAAATGATCCCCTAAAATGGAAGAGTTGATTGTGTTTGATGAATTGTCTGAAAGAGTAGAAGTGGAACAGGCCATCAAAAACCTCAAGGAGCAAAAGAACGCAATCCTGTGATATGACCTGCCGTCTGGAAAATCATCTTTAGCTTCCTCCCCCCCCCCCCCCCCCCCCCCTCCCTCCCC